TGTTGAAAATTAATTAGAGAATGTTTGACCGCTGAAGTGGTTTTCGACCGAGATTCTAAAAGTAACTCGAATAGCACTGTACCCGAAAAAAGGGGACCTCACAATCATACTAGAGAGTGTGTATTGTGCGAAATGCTAACTCTCATCATCAACCAACTGACTGGACTTATCAGTGGCCTTAGGAAAACCACGTGACAAATCTTGGAAACTCGCAAGGAAAAAAGGTTCGACACACCCCACCTCCTTGTCGATTTTAAAACGGCCTTAGACAGCACGGAAAGGAGCTGCTCTTTGCCTTCATGTCTGTATTAGGTATCACCACAGTCGAAATGCGGCTGTGTAATTTGGAACTGAGTTGTACCAGAAGGTCCATCAGAATCGGAAAGGTCCTCTCCAAGGCTTTTAATATCAAACGAGGTTTATTGCTGAACATATTAATACGAGCTGCTGAGCTAGGGTGTTAGGATTGAATCTCCCATAAGATATTGACGTCTCAACAATCGTAATCAAGCCAACTTTTGCCAACAGTTGTAACTTTGGACTGAGTAGGCAATTGAAAAGTAAAGTGCTCTCTCGGCGAACGAACCAAACTCTACAAGTCGCTCACCTTTCCCGCCCTGCAATATGGTGCGGAGGCATGGACGATATCAACAGCTGATGAGTCGAAGTTTCTTCATACCAGCTTGTCTTATCGTCGCAGGGAGTTTTTAAATATTTTTAAAAATGTTAAGGAGCAACATTTAATGTAAATAACTTTCAACACAACGATAATATGACCATAATTTAATTAATAAACTTATAATTGGAGCAACAATTACAATTCTGTGCACTTTGATGTTATCAGCAAGCACTTTAGGGAAGATTTCCCCAACCCAACACTGAGCTCAGCTCTTCAACCGACATGGCTGCATACCCTTGGTGTCTATTATGGTGTGGAGTAAATGAACTTCCCCAAACCACAGAAGAAATTACAAAGTATAAATACAATAAATAATTAAAGTTTTTCTTTTGGTTAGTTATCAAGACAAAAGCCGGTTGTTTGACTGGCGGAGTAACCTAATTACAAACAAAAGAACTTAGTATATTGGCAGTCGTTAATAGCAGAAGAAATTGTAGAAGAAAATGAAGATGAAGAGCAAAGTCCATTTAGTAACTCGAGCCCATTGAGCGTTTTCTTCATTTATGTTATGGCATTAAGTTTGTACAAATATTGAATTGCGTGTGCTTCAATCATAATAACTTCGAAACAATATTACACTAAGCTTTAAATCCCTTTCGTCTTACCCCTTTCTACCCCTCAAATGGGGTTTTCTAACTTTTTACGTAACACGAGCGCGTGGCGAGCGCCAACTGTAACCCGAACTGATTTCATTACTCCCAGTTGCTATGAGCAGTCGCCACTTCCTTTGTGTCTAATAACCATTCAAGTATCCAAAGTAAATTTCTCATAGGAGTTATTATTATCCTTTCCAATGGCACTCATTTACTTCTGTGTTGGAAAAATATTGTACAAAGTCCGCAGTGCGCGTGAAGACAGTTCCAGAGTTGGGGTAGAGCGTTGAGTGTGCCGCGTGTGCTCAGGTGTACCTGAATTCCATATAAGACTTTACAAATACTTTTTTAAGATGCACAATAATGTGCCACCCGTGTTTGGGCAGTAATTAAAAATTACAAAAACAATGAAATGAGGTAATGGCGCACACATCCGTACATATCTCTTCGTTGGCTTAGTACAAAAATTTTTAAATTTTATATTGTAGATGGATTTAAATAATAAAAAATTTTACTTTTGTTATTCTCTTTGTGCGTGAAATTTATTTAAAAGTAGATTAGAGGCGAAAAAAATTCCAAAGTGAACATAAGAATATCTAATTTACCCAATTCAGTTAACCTTTGCGTCTTGAACATTTTAATATAATACAAAATTAACAAATATAAATTCAAAATAAAATGCATTAAATTAAATTACATAAAACGAAATATAAATAAAATAAAATAAACAAAAAATTTTAACTGATATAAAAAAATTAATTTAATTTAATAGCATAAAACAAACTTACACAAATTAAGATTATATTAAATAAAATAATATAAATTAACAGAAATAAATTAAATAGAAAAAAAGTTTAGAATAAATTAATTTAAAATTAAATTAAAAAAAAAATTAAATACAATATTGTAAAATATCATTAAGGTAAAGAGTAATATAAATTAAAATTAAATTAAATAAATTAAAATCAAAGCAAAATATTTTATAATAATATTGTATATAAGAAAATTTCATAAATGAAATAAAATAACATAAACTAAAAAAAAAATAAAAATTAAATTAGATTAAATAGAATAAAATAAAAGCAACTAAATAAAAGAAATAAACCAAAATTCAAATGAATTAAATAAAATTAAATGAAATAAAATTAAATAGAATAAAAAAAAATTAAAAATAAAAATAGAAATAAAGTAAAAATATATAAACTAAAATGAAATAAAATAAATAAATCAAAACGAAATATCAAAAAATGAAATAAAATGAAATAAAAATAAATAAACTAAAATAATACAATTGAAATAAAATAGAATAAAACAAACTTACACCAATTAAAATTATATCTTATAAAATAATATAAACTAAAATAAATTTATATCAAATTAAATATAATTAAAAAGAGTAAAAGATAAAAACTAAAATAAAATATTATTAAATTAAAGAAAATAATATAATTTAAAACTTAATTAAATAAAATAGCATATTAAAATAAAATAAAAATTATATTAAATAGAATAAAATATATGTAACAAGTTTAAATTTAAAGGAATAAAAATAAATAAACTAATATAAAAAGCGTATAATAATAATAATAATATGATAATATAATATAAATTAAAATAAAAGGAAAACTAATAAATTAAAATTAAAATTAAACAAAATTAAAGCAACTTTAAGGAGCACACTTAGTGTAATGGCCTGAAAAAATGTGATTTTTGGTAATTTTTAATAAAAAAAAATGCTTTATCAATTATTTCAAAATTTTAAGGAAATATTTATACATGTTTCAAAAATATACAGTGAAATTTTTGGAGAAAAAAATTAAATATTTTTTAAGTTATTGTCGATCTCCAACGGCGCAAAAAAAAATCCCTCACTGCTGTAGTGATTCCGGCCTTCTCCGTATATGAAATCTAAAAAAAATTTTCACTAGATAATATTGTTTGTACAATGACCTACGATTAAAAAAAAAAATCAAAAATTCACAATATGGCGGCGTTTTAAACAAAATAGTCGAATTTTACCCAATTTTTTTTTGGCCAGCCAATATTCGATTTTTTGATCAGATCAAAAATCGATAGGTCATTGCACGCAGAACTATATATAGAACATGTAAAAAAATCAATAGTGATCGGATCATTTTTTTTTTTGAGTAATCACTTCAGCAAATTTGGAAAATGCTGTTTCGAGAAAAACGCGTTTAGAGATAAAATGATCGTTTTCACTCGTAGCTAATGAGACTCTCTAGCTGCTGAGCGGCTGCTCTTTAAATTGCTATAACTCAAAAACTATTTAACAAAAAATTATATTATAACATGAAATTTAAAAAGAAAAACTAAAAAAATTAAAAGAAAGTAAAATGTTAGATTTAAAAAAATTTAATTCAAATGAAATAAGTCAAGCTAACATATTTAAAATAATAAATAGTGTTAATATAAAGTAATAAAGAAAATAAATTTAATAATAACAAAAAGTCAAATAAGTTGTTTTAAAATAAAGTAAGTATTATGGAAAATTTAAATTAAAGCTAGTCACAATATGTTTTGACATTTTTTTGTTTTGAATTTGTCAATATTGCAATTACTTAATTTATTCTTATTACGTTTCTTAATTGGCATAAAACACGAAATTGTTATTTAAAATTATATTGCTGATAACAGTAAACTACTTCCGCTATATATTTTTCAGCGATAAAACTATTTTTCATTCAACATATTATTGTTTACAGTCAAACAAATTGAGTCATCATAAAAAGTTCTAAGGTCAGACAAAAACATTGCTGTTCGCATCACACCGCACTAATTCCATGACTTCGAAATTAAATTCACATTAATTCAAAATTCATTCATCGTTTATTTGATAGTGAATAGTTTCTCATTTGCCCTGGCCTTTCCTACAGGGCATCGATGGTCGTGATTAAAGCTAATCTTTCATAGAGAAAAATCTCAGAGTTTCTCGTGTTTCAAGCATAAAATTTTATTCAATGTGTATTGCTCATTCATAAAATATAAGTATATATTTTTTTTAAGTAAGTACAGTGCATCTTAATAGCAAAGAAAAGAAACAATAATATTTCTAAGAGGCTCTAAAAAATTTATAATGATGTAAAATAAAAAATAATAAAATAAATTTAGAAAATTTTTAATTAAAATAATATAAATAATAGTAAAAAAAAAAATAAAATAAAACAATGTTTTATTTTACTTTACATTATTTTATTTTATTTGATTTTAATTTTATTTATATTATTTTAATTAATTAATTATTAAAAATAAGATAATAAAATTTAAACAAAATCAAACAAAATAAAAGAAAAAAATGGAATAAAATAAAAATGAATAAATAACATAAATTTAAATTAAAATGAAGTTAAATAAAATACAATAAAATAAAATGAAACATAATATAATTCAGTGAAATAAAATAAGAAGAGATAATAAAATCAAGTTAACAAATAAATAAAGGAAATAATTTTAAATAAATGAATAAACAAAAAATTAAAATAAAATAAATTAATATTTGAAATTAAAACTAAATAACTAAAAGAAAAATTATACAGTAAAAAAGTTAAATAAAGTCAAACAAAATAAAATAAATTAAAATAAAACGAAAAGATAATAATTAAAAATAAAATAAATAACAATAAAATGAACTGACATAAAATAAAACACTATACTAACACTTAGTTTTTTCTTTAATTTTTTTAGTTAATAGAGCAATCAAACGTTGTGAAGTATGAAATTAAAAATGATGTGTGTTCATCTGAATGACACTTTCGATGCCTACGAGCACTAATGATGTTAATGAGCAAAGGCTTGTATGTAAGTATGACGTTAGAATTCATACACGGTGAAGCTGCTGGAAGCGGACTTGAATCTCAGAAGCCTTAAGCTAAAGTAAGTAAATATACGAAAACCTGATAATTCAGTGTAAACAAATGGCAAATACCCACATACTCGTGCATACATACAAACGGCATGACGATTTATGAGATAAGCAACTTTTTCATCTCAGCTCAGCGTACAGCGTGACGTTATCTACAAAAGTAAGGCCATAAAGTTGTTTGGCTTCGAAAATCGCAAATCCGTACGCCACGATCAGTTTCGATCTTTAACTGCATACGTTAAGAAGTTTGCGCAATTTTTTGTGAACAAAAAAGAATATTTATAAATTACAAAGTACACAATTTGTATAACAAAAAATGCGTTTCCTCAACGCTTTACTACTGTTAATTGCACTGCTGGCGCCGCACTCTGCACTTGCAGCCGATAAGAATTTGGTGTGTTTCTATGATTCTGCGAGTTATCTACGACCAGGTAAATATATATATACATATATATATTATTATAAATTTACCAAAACTGTTGATACCCACTGTTACTGTGCACACAGGTTTCGCCAAATTGTTACCCACTGACCTTGAACTCGGTCTAAATTTCTGTACGCATCTCATTTACGGCTATGCTGGCCTTAAACCACACACGCATGAAGTCTACAGTCTCAATGTCGATCTTGATATGTTCCATTACCATGAGATCATATTATTGAAGGCGAAATACCCAAAACTGAAGGTTTTCCTCAGTGTTGGTGGCGATCGCGATGTGGACGAGGCAAATCCACTTAAGTATTTAGGTTTGTTGGAGAGTGGTCCTGAGGGTCAACAGAACTTTATAGACAGCTCTATTTCGTTGTTGAAACGTAACGGTTTTGATGGTCTCGATTTGGCTTTCCAATTGCCACGAAATAAACCGCGAAAAGTGCACGGCACAGTCGGTTCCTATTGGAAGAAGTTCAAGAAGCTTTTCACTGGCGATTTTGTCGTCGATCCACTGGCTAGCGAGCATAAGGAGCAATATACAGAGCTGACTAAAAATTTGCGTACGGCACTGCAGCGTTCAAATCTATCGCTGTCGATGACTGTGTTGCCGAATGTCAACTCGACTTGTGAGTATTTTTCGAATAATAATTGTATTGAAAATTTCGATGATAATCTCTGATTATTTAGTAAATTAAATTGTCTTCAAAACAGGTCTAAGACTGGAAAATTGTATTTACATAATTATTATTCGTAATATAATTTTAGTGTAGTTTTTAATTTCTTTTTTTAATAATTCAATATCAAAAAATTTTTTGCTTATTTTGTTTGAATCTAATTAATTCTTATTTATTTATTTTTTCCCTCTTTTTTACTTTTTTTTATTTTAACTGTTTTTATTTTATTTTATTTTTTAATTTATTTTATTATGGGTTTAATTTAATTATTTTTTATTTATTAAAATTATTTTCATTCAAAATTCTTTATTAATGTGCTTTTATTTTATTTTTAATTTTAATTTGTTTTAATATGGATTCAATTTAATTATTTTTTATTTTATAAAATTATTTCGTTTCAAATTGCTTTATTTATATGCTTTTATTTATTTATTTTATTATTTTTTTTATTTGATATTATTATAATTTATTTTATATTTATTGTATTTTATTTTACTTTATTTTTTTTTATTTTATTTTAATTTTTTGTTTTACTTTATTCCACTTTCCTTTGTTTTAAATTAGTTATTTAACTAATCTGTTTGATTTTATTTAATCCAATTTTTTCATTTAAATTATTTTTATATTGACTGATTTTATTTTTTTTATTTTACTTTTAATATTACGTTATTTTAAATTGCATTATACATTTTATTTTTATTCCATTTAAATTAATTTGATTTATTTATTTCATTCTTTTTTATTTTGTTTTATTTATTAGACTTTATTGTAATTTGTTTTTCTATTATTTCATTTATTGAATTTTTTTTTTATTTTTTTTATAATTTTATTTCATATTATTTTATTTTTTTTATTTCTTTTATCCATTTCTTTTTGTGGTTTATTTTTAAAATTTTATTTTCTTAAATTATTTTATTTTTTTTTAAGTTATGTTATGTTAATTTGCTTTATTTTATTTTATTTAATTTATTTTAATTAAATTTTTTTAATTTTATTTTATTTTTCTTTATGTTATTTTTGTACGGTTTATTTTATTTATTATTTTATTAATATTTTTAACTCATTTTTTTAAATTTATTTTATTTCTTTGTTTCTTTTGTTCAACATACACTACAAATAATTTTTCCCCAATTATTTCCTGCAGGGTATTTCGACGTGCCAAAGATCAAGAACAATTTCGAGTTTGTCAACTTGCTGGCCTTCGACTTCCTCACACCGGAGCGTAATCCCGATGAGGCCGATTACACTGCACCCATTTATCCGTTGCTCGAGCAGGATCGCCTACCGCACTACAATGTCGAATATCAAGTTGACTATTGGCTGAAGAATCAATGTCCCGGACAAAAAATCAATCTCGGCATTGCCACTTATGGACGTGCATGGAAAATGACACCAGATTCAGGTTTCTCTGGCGCACCCATTGTGCCTGGCACAGATGGACCCGCGCCAGCTGGTCTACAATCCCAAATACCCGGCTTACTTAGTTGGCCGGAGATTTGTGCTAAAATGCCGAACAATGTGAATGCCGAGTACCGGGGTGAGAATGCGCCGCTGAGGAAAGTCACAGATTTGGAGCAACGTTATGGCAATTACGGTCTACGACCGGCGGATGAGAATGGTGAACACGGCATGTGGGTGAGCTACGATGATCCCGACTTTGCGGCGATCAAGGCGAGCTATGTGCGCACCAAGGGTTTGGGTGGTGTGGCGCTTTACGATTTGACCTATGACGATTTTCGTGGGCTGTGTACGGGTTTGAAATTTCCCATCTTGCGCGCCATAAAGCATTTCTTATAGGTTGAGTCTGGAACTTTATTATTATTATATTTAATATTTTTTAAGTGTTACAAATGTACATACGAGTATATGTACATATGTATTTATGTAAATAATAGTTGTAAACGGAAATTGTATAAAACTCAAAGTAAAAATAAATATTACGTGATTTAAAATTTATTAGTTTTATTGAAAACTAACGCGAAATATCGCGCACTTAAATACAAAAATAATAACCTTCTCTACTTGACCCTGAAATTGTGTGCTGTTTTAGTGATTACTCAACTCCGTTGAGCATGTACGTGTGTATGTATGCATGTGCACATTTGTACTTTTTTATTTCAGTACTTATTTAAACGGTTAATTTGTATATTATCGCAGAAAAGTATATTGAAAATAAACATGTTTATAGCAATAAAAATTAATATAAAAAAAAATCTCTTATTATTGTCACTCTCAAGCCAAATTAGCAGCCTCATATTCCGAAACAAGTTCGAGAACACTCATTTGCATTTATAAATACGCTTTCATGAATTAATGCGAACCGCAACGTGCTCAAAATATCAAATCCGACGCTTACTCACTCACAATTGCTTGGAAAAATCACACTCGCAATGCCCCAAACCCGCCCAGCTAATCACAGTTCTCATTACATTCTTTATGTCAACTCATGTGCGCTCCATTACCGCTTTAAAGGCATACAAAGCTCATGCTCATTGTAATCAGCTGTTCGATCCCGAACCCTACACGCGCCCGCACCTACTACAAACGCCCACAGTTGAGGTGAGCTTTGACGGCACACGAAGCTCTAACGCTCGCATAACATCGGCTAGCGCTACGCACAATTATCAGCTTGCCCAACGCCCAGCTGACCGACGGATCACCGTTCGTTATTCGTATGCATTCATTAGTCCACTTGTTGCTCAGTGACATTTGTAGATCTCTGATTTTAGTTTCAATTTTACTTTTGTTTTGTGCAGTTCGTTTTCGCAGAAATAAACGCGTCTCTTAGATATTCGCAATCACAAAGCGGTCTTTACAACTTGCTAATCCAGTATTGTCCGTTTGTAAGATGAAATTATTCGCTTTACTTTCACTGGCCCTAGGCCTGTGGGCTGCTCAAGCGAGCGCTGCTAATCTCGTCTGCTATTATGACTCTGCGAGTTATATACGTGAAGGTAAGTTATGTGCGGGTTGTTTAGCGGTTAAATATTTGTTTTTCTAGATAAATCTCATTTACGACATTATATATTTTTGTTTGTTTACTTCATTATGGGGGCTTTTTTTTTGGTGTATGTTCGTGTGCGGCCATTGAAAGTAAAAGCACTAATTTATGGCATCATCAAGGTACTTTATTTATGGAAAAAAATAAACAAATATTTTTGATATAAAAAATTTAAAGAGATAAATATGTGCTTAGCTGCAGTTTAAGGTATTTTTGAAGTGAATGTCAAATCTGTGTATATAATTTAAATTAATTTAGCTTAGAGGCGCCAACAAATAATTAAGAGTTAAGTCTTTTGATTTTCGAAAATCGTTAAAATTTGCTTAAAACCGTCTTCAATACAAAGCTATCTGAATGCAACGAATTTTAAATTTAATATTAGAATTTTTTAACTGCTTTCTGGTATCTATAGGTTTATTCGGAAAACTAGACTGTTGTATTGAAGAAGTTTTTAGGATTAGGCGACTTTGACGTATCATTTTAATTTTTCTTTTTGAGTTATTTTCATGTGAGATAAGGTAGAAGTGGTTCTCAGTTTGAAAGATCGGCAGTGAGATATTTCGTAGTACCACTTTCCTTGGACTTCATACTTTTTAAAATAAATTTAAGAATTCCCTTACTCAAAAAAAGCTGCAATATTCCAAATATACTTCTGCTAGAAGCATAACAGATAAAAAGTCGTTTCCTTCTTCTCTTCATGCCTGCAAGTCCGAATATATACTTTGAAAGAAGCTCCGGTGTGCCCTCCTGAAAAACACTGTCTCGTTAGGATCCCAGTACCTACAAAGTATTCATGATTTCACAGATTCCTAGCTGCTTTTCGATCATTTAAAGATATTGTTGTCTGATAAAATTAGATATTCGAAATCGAAGTTAAAAAATATAATCAGTAAAAGCATTATTCATCTAAAAATAACTTCCTTCATAAACAAAATGGCTATCGAATCAATATAAACCCTTGGCTCCATCTTAAAGATCCCAAACTTCCAAAAAAAGATGACATTATTTTCATAAAAGCGGTGAAATAATTTCTCATGCTATTCAGCAAATAAATAATAAAAATACACTAAACCAGAGTTCTTTTCCTTCTAACTTTGTCAATGAGCCAACTATCGAGTCGTCGAATCGCTCGCAGTACTACTTCCCGTTCGTCATAATTATTTAGACCCAAATTTACTTCTGTACCAAATTTTAAGGAAAAAACTCTTGTTTTATAAATAACTCGATCCCTGGTCAACTTCTCACATCAATCGATTTCCCTCAGACGCTCCCCTTGGTCGGTTGGACGGGAGGTGTGTAATGCTGGGTTCGGCACAGCATTTTAAATAGTTTATGTATCATAATATATTCGTTTAATTTAAATTACTTTTTATAAATATGTAGTTGAAAACGATTATGTATGTGAAAAAAAACTACGTTACATGGAGCAGGGGAAGGTGAGGTTCTAGAAAAGAACACGTAAGGCTACATAAAGGGGATACGGATGGCCTAAAATATGACCACGTGGTTGAGGTTGAAGTGCTGGCTCTATCTAGAATTCAATAACCTTCAATACCTCTTAAGATTCCTGTATATATAGAAATAAAAAAATTCTAATGTGGTGGACATCCCTTTGGAGAGTTAAATGATATATGAACAGATGGCAAATACCTACTGCAAAAACAAGTTCAAGTATTTACCTTTATTTTACACGGTACTTGCATCCACTGAGAATCGCTAATTTGTCATAATTGACAATAAAAAATATCTCATTTATAATCGGGAATAAAACCACACCCTTAAAGCAACTGTAATTAGTGCATTCCTCTTTGCAGTTGTCAATAAGTAAACTAAGTGCATCGATATGCAAATCATAAGGTACTTTTTATAAATTTAGTTGAAAGTAATTAAAATTTTTTCCAAGGAAGTAATTAATCCAAAGCAATTGACTATCTGTTAGAGGTTGCTTACGCTTACAAAACGCTAGAAAATACTCAATAAGCTCATATTATTTTTATTTTTATTTTTACATAAACAAATAAAATGTTTGCGAACAATAACGAACACTATTTAATATATATATATGTATATATGTACTTGCTATATATACATGTATATACACTTGGAATGTAGTATTATTTATTCAATTTGTAAACAAGTTTAGACGGAGAAAAAGCTTTTAAAAATTATCACTTGCTCTGACGGCGGCTAAGCTACTAGCCTAGCAGTTATTTACATATACATGCAGAGTGATGCTTTGATGGGTCATTGGCTTATCAGAGGGGGTCACGGTATATAGGCAATAAAATATAGATTAAAATAACAATCGTTTCACTGACCGACAATAGACTGTCTCAATGAACTCTAGAGCGATAAATGGTTGATATGCTACATATATATACATATGTGTAGCTACATATAAAAATAAAACTAACGCATAATGCAAATAAATTTATTTATTTACTTAGAGTTCGAGAATAAACAGTCTACGACAATAGTAAATATCTAAATTAATTCAAATTCCGCGCACAACACTAATAACGAGCTATAATCTAGCACACATTATGATGCTGCAACACTTTATTATTCCACTTCTGAATTTATTAAAGTGATATTCCACTACTGGTTTTGTTGTTTTGATATTCCACTACCGATTTTAATTCTCTGAAATGTCGCGATATGTGACTCATATGACGTGATTTTCAACAGTAACCTGTTAATGACGCAAGTATCATATACTCGTAGCTTCAAATGTGATCAGAGACAGGTTTAGTTAAAAAAAAAATCATAAACAACAATACCCACTTTTCATGCGAATATTTATTTTCTAATTGAAATTTCGGAATTTTTCTAATGTTGTTTATACTTATTTTCTACTATTTGTATTTTGCTCGCTGCATTCGGTGAATTATTTTATTGTTCTCCCGATCAACATTAGTCATAAATTTTTGTTTGTATTTGTCCAATGTTGTTTGCATTTGTCCAATGTTGTTGTGTACACCATTACAGTTTTCCCCCCGGTACTGCACCCAAAACCACTTGTGTTTGTTTATTTTGTATTATTGTCACGCATGCACGCACCATTTTCATACCAATGTTTTTTTCTATAAAAAAAAAATTGCACTGACTTTGAAATAATTGAATAAATGTTTATTCTATTTTTACACTTCTTACACATGTGCGCCACAAAACCTCGCAGGTCTTGGCAAATTGCTCACACCCGACCTTGAGATCGCACTACAATTCTGCTCACACTTAATTTACGGCTATGCCGGCATAAATCCGAACACCTATCAGGTGCAGAGTTTACATGAAGACTTGGATGTGCATAAGCATCAGTATTCCGAAGTAACGGCGCTGAAGCGTAAATATCCCCATTTGAAAGTGTTATTGAGTGTTGGCGGTGATCAAGATGTCGATCCTGAGCATCCGAATAAATACCTCGAACTACTGGAGGGTGAAAAAGTGAAGCAGACTTCCTTCATAAACTCGGCGTATTCGTTGGTGCGTTCTTATGGCTTTGATGGTTTGGATTTATCCTTCCAATTTCCTAAAAATAAACCACGTAAAGTACACTCCGACATTGGCATGGTGTGGAAGAAGTTTAAGAAGCTCTTCACGGGCGATTTTATAGTCGATGAGAAGTCCGAACAGCATAAGGAAGAGTTTACCGCATTTGTACGTGATGTACGTAATGCTTTACGACCGGATAATATGATGCTCACGTTAACGGTATTGCCGAATGTTAATTCAAGCTGTAAGTGTGAAAGAAATTTTTTTGTTAAAAGTTAATTGACTTACCTTTGCTCCCATATACACAGGGTACTTCGATGTGCCAGCTTTGGTCGGTAATTTAGACTTTGTCACGCTTGCCGCTTTCGACTTCCTCACTCCCGAACGCAATCCCAAAGAAGCAGACTATACTGCGCCACTCTATGAACTTTACGACCAAAGTCGTTTATCTCATTACAATGCCAATTACCAAATCGATTATTGGCTTGGCCAACAATGTCCGGCTAACAAGATCAATCTCGGTATTGCTGCGTATGGACGCGCATGGAAGCTGACTACCGACTCAGGCTTGACTGGTGAGCCTGTGGTGAAAGAAACTGATGGACCGGCGCCGGCTGGCATGCAAAGTCAACAACCGGGTTTACTCTCATGGCCAGAGGTGTGCGCAAAATTGCCAAATCCTAGTAATGCCTACTTGAAGGGTGCTGATGCGCCGCTGCGTCGTGTAAGCGATCCCACTAAACGGTATGGCGCTTATGCTTTCCGTCCGGCAGACGGTAACGGCGAGCACGGCATGTGGGTGAGCTATGAGGACCCCGATAGCGCAGCCAATAAGGCGGCTTATGTGCATTCGAAGAACTTGGGCGGCTTGGCGTTGTTCGACTTGAGTTACGATGATTTCCGTGGTCTCTGCACAGGCGATAAATTCCCCATTTTACGCGCTGCCAAGTTCCGTTTGTAAAATTTGAAAAAAAAAATAATCGGAAAAACGTGTCATTCGAATTTATTTGTCTCACACTGTACTTTTACGCTCAATAAACAATAAATCATTGATTTTTTTTACTCACAAACATTTGAGTTTTATATTTGTCGTTTAATTATGAAGTTTCTACCGATGAGTAGCGTTCCAGTGATCTCGTCGAACTTTTAAACTTAAACGCTGATAACTTTCGTAGAAAGCTCGCATATTTCATTTGAAAAAAAGTGAACTCAGTCGGCGAAATTATTTTCACTTTAAATCTCAAGCTGATTAGACGTGTGCTCGCAATGAGAGTTTTTCTTTTAACACTCGCCTTGCTGGCTTGTACCGTGGCATGGAGCACGGCTTCGGGGTTGGAACGCAATTTAGTGTGCTTTTACGATTCAAATGGCGTCACTCGTGCAGGTTACTTTTCCCAAAATAATGATTTAAACTCCTCTTACTTACTTCTCCCACGCAGGTCCAGCACAGTTTAGCACCGCTGACTTGGAAATAGCTTTGCAATTTTGCACACACGTCATTTACGGCTATGTTGGAATCAATTCCGACACTTTCCAGTTAATGAGCCTGAACGAAAATTTGGATATACAACGACGTCACTTCGCCACCATCACTGCACTCAAAGAGAAATTCCCATATACTAAATTCCTGCTCAGTGTAGGCGGTGATCGCGATGCAGGTGGTCATGAGAAGTATATTAGTCTCTTGGAAGCAGGTCGGCAGAAACAGACAGCTTTTATAGAGTCAGCACGAGACTTTCTGCGCAGCTATAACTTCGACGGTCTCGACTTGGCTTTCCAGCTGCCACGCAACAAACCAAGGAAGGTACACTCCGATGTCGGTGCGGCGTGGAAGAGTTTCAAAAAGTTCTTCACTGGTGATTTCATCGTTGATGAGAAGGCGGATGAGCACAAGGAGGAGTTCACTGATTTAGTTAGAGATCTGAAGAATACGCTGCGTGTGGATAATTATTTGTTATCGCTCACTGTCTTGCCGAACGTCAACTCGAGTTGTAAGTAGACAATGAAGATTTTGGTTAGAAAATAAAATTCCCCGTCACATGCTCGTGCTGTTATGCTCACCCTTAGTCACTTGCTAACATGTTTCTTTGCACTTCTCACAGGGTACTTCAATGCACCGGCTATCGCCGATAGCTTGGATCTCATAAATCTGGCCACCTTTGATTTCCTTACACCCGAACGTAATCCCGAAGAGGCTGACTTTAGTGCACCACTTTACGAACTGCACGATCAAAATCGTCTGCCACACTATAATATCAATTACCAAGTGGAGAACTGGTTGTTGCAACGTGTGCCCGCCAGCAAACTGCACGTGGGTGTTGCCGCTTATGGACGTGCTTGGAAAATGACTAAAGATTCTGGTACAACAGGCTTACCAATCGTACGCGATACAGATGGCGCTGCACCTGCTGGTCCACTAACCAAAACACCAGGTCTGCTTAACTGGTTGGAGGTGTGTCAACGTCTACCGAACCCTTCGAATGTCAATGCAAAGGGTGCTGATGCTCCACTGCGTCGCATTAGTGATCCCACTAAACGTTACGGCACTTACGCTTTCCACACCGCTGACGAGGATGGTTCCAATGGTGTGTGGGTGAGCTACGAAGATCCCGATACGGCTGCCAGTAAGGCTGGTTATGTGAAGGCAAAGAATTTGGGTGGTGTTGCCTTGTTCGATCTCACTTTGGACGACTTCCGTGGTCAGTGCACCGGTGATAAGTTCCCCATGCTGAGAGCTATCAAATACAGGTTACTTTAAATGTTTGAAGGAAAGTAGAGATACTAGGAGCTTGCTGAGCTCTATATGTATATGATAAATGTATTTTTAGTTTAGAAGAGTCATACCCAAAGCTTTCGAGATTGTTGAATTAAATTGTAAAACTGGTTGTGCTAAATAATATTTGTTGATATGTGTTACCGCTTTCGGGTTTCATTAAGTAAGTTTAAAGTTATTTTGAGAGTTAATAAATTTTATGTTATTTCATTATATCAAACGTAGCTCAAAGGTCCATTTCCTGGGTAGTTCTAAAAAAAGACTACCAAATCGAAACTAGAATCCAGTTTGGAGGTGGAAACAAATCGGCAGTTTCGACATGAGTCTTCACTTAAATGCATCTGCTGAAGGTCAATCTAGGGAGCGTCCCTAACCGACATATCCTGGCTAAGAGGAGGAATAAATGTTACTCTAAGCCACGAAGGAGAGCAACGTGCGCTGAATCTAATACTAAAATGAGAGAAGGAAGATAAGGAAGATGTTACCTTGCCCGAAACGAGAGCTCCTTGAAGTACTATAACACATCCATAGGGTTTATTGCTGGTCCTTAAAAGGTCTATTGAATCGTATATGTCCTTAATTGGTCAGTTGCAAGAAGTATGGTGTTTTGTTGAAGGTTTGAGACTTTGTACAGCAGCATGAGTACAAAACCTAACCTGGCACTAAATTTTTCAGTCGAAAGAAGCAAAGAACAACTGACAAAATATCTTTCTTCATAAGATGGCGTTCATAATCCACCCCGCTAGGCCAAAAGGTGGGAAGGGTTGTTTTAAGTGCTGCTTTAAAGGCCGCTTAGCATACAATGAACTGAGTGAGAGATCTCAGAATGACCAAAATATGACCACATGGATTCTGGATAATCTCTAATTTTGTTACGGCTCTTGGTAAGGCTTTCAAATTTGGCAGTTCGATTTGCGACAAAAACAGGTAATGGAACACGAAGGCTGTTAGAAACTGAGAAGCTCAAAAACATACTGACTTTGGGTTTACTCGGCCAGATACCTGATCTTTCTAACGAGGTAGAGGTATTTCTCTTACTCGACTCTTCAAACAGGGTAGGGAGATTATTAAAGCGGAAATGCGAAAATACCTATTGTCAGCATGACTATACCAAGGCGTCCTTTTTTATTTGTGTACTTTGTGCGAAGCAAAGACTAAAGCAAGGACCTAAAGTCTGGCAATATTGCTTGGTATTTGTATAAATGAGCAATTTGTCGTTTTATATAAAAAGCGGTAACAGCGCTACTAATTAAATCAGAGGTCTAGATATGATCGGTAGAGGCCAGCAACCGAAAGTTCTGGCATCGTCTAAAATGTTTCTCATGCTCACTTTCTGAAGTACGAGGGGACTAATAAAATTTCGCCAAGTTGACCAGAAATAAAAATTATTCGTAATCTTTGTCCTTTTTTATCTTCCATACATATTCGCCATAGATTTCAATGCATTTCTGAAGCCTCTAAATCCACTTCTCAAAACAGTCTTCAAAATCTTGCTTTTTTTAGCTCATAAAGCTCAACATTACCCGCATGAATTATCTCCTCGTTGCTATTAAAGAATTTTCCTTTTAATTTTCGGAAATATCCATATTCTTCGATCCCAGAGATCGCAATAAAATTACTCGTTATTTCAATAGTGTGGGATGGCGCGTTGTCATGATGAAAAAACTGCCTTCGCAAATCGGCTACACTTGCTCCTGTTGGGCTGCATACCATGGGCTGCTGCTTGGTTTCTGGATCGTTCTTAAAAAACCAAAATTCGTCACCAGTAACGACTTTACTAAAGTTGCTAGACTGACCATTTTCGAATTTGTGTGGAAAAAATTTGGCAAAATCAATCTAGCCTCTTTTTGGATCTCATTCAAAATTAGATTACCTAATATTCGCAATACTGCCATTGCATTCCAGCCCCTTCATTTCTTTTGTCAATCGTGAACCTTCGTCAATGTTGGACTTCACCAGAGCTACAGGGACGTCAGTGGAAAATTTTTATCGGCCTTCTCTGGACTCGTTCTCTATTTACAAATTTCCAGTCTGGAATTTTCGGAACCACTTCAAAGGTGCCATATCCAATTTGGCATTCTCTGAATATTTGTATTGGCTGCAAATTACGCTGAAATCCGAAGAAAATCACATGGCGAATTTCTGTTTGCGTTGTTGGTGGAATTTCGTCTGACCTATCCTCAGCTATCTTGCGTTTTCTAGTCTCCTTTTTAGCCGATTATTCTAAAATTTGAGAGGAAGTCTCGCAAAGTAATTGCAAAGAATTTAGTTTTAAATTTAACAAAAACAAATTGAAAGCCGCTAACTGATCAAACTTTTTTTACTCCCCTCGTACCAAACTGCTTGGATAGCTTTTTTCAGGCCTTAAAAACGACATCTAGGGGCTTTGCAGTCTGGACAACTAGTAATGATCTCAAAGCTAGATATCAAAAAGCATTGACATCCTATAAAACGATTATGTGACTATGTATGACGAATCATCCAACTTACCAAAACTCATCTATGTGCAACGGCATGCGTCGTAAAATATTGTAGTGAGCTGGATAAAAGCTTAGAAATAATATTAAACAAGCTCATGCTATTTTAAAACTTATGTCCAGTGGAACTAAGATGCTATTCTAAGTCATGCAGCTGAATCAACAAGTAAAATCGGCTCTGGTCGAAGGGCAGAGAAGATTTTTTTGTATGTTTGATGGGATGAACAAAGAAATATCCACTATGAGCTATTTCCCTCCGGCCAAACGCTTAATTCAAAACTGCACCATCAGCAGTTGTACAGCCTGAACGAAACAAACGCCCGAAAGCGTTCAGATTCGGCCTACAGGAGGGGAATCGTGTATCATCAGCGCAATGCCCAGCCCATACACATCGATAGTGACGCAGCAGAAGCTCCAGGAGTGATTACCATCTGCTGACTGATGCAGAATTGACCTCAAGAGAAATCTGTGATGACAGATTAGGGACAAGAATTTGGATAATTTCTACTTTCGAAAATAAAGCCTTGAATTTATTGCAAAAATATTTGATTACTTTTACAAGACCCAAAAAATGACATGCCATGCCTTTGCTTCTACAATACTTGTATAGGACCTGGACAAAATACTATGGGACACATTTCGGCAGTCAAGCTTGTTTAGAGACGTTTGATAATATTTTTGGACCAGTGAGATCCACGACGAAATCGAATCACGCCTTTTTACTCCCAGCTGCTGATGAGATTCGTTCTTCCAAATAAATAAATGTCAACCGCTCCGAGTGTATTTCTGGCATGAAATAAAGATTCCTCATAAAAAACCATCAGCCGTGCGCAGGTATAAACTGTAGATCCCTCCATTTGTTGGAAATCAAGACGCAAAAACCACAAATTAGAAGAGAAGCTCGAACCAAAATCGCTTCAGCGGTTACAAAGCGCCAATTATATATATAAACACAAATTAATTTAAAGCGACTAGAACAAGTTGCTATTACTACACGAACAATACAGTTCACAAGAAAAAATATCAAAAAAAAAAAATTGAAAATCTGAAATAAAGCCCAGCAATAATGTCATTAAAGGCGCTACTTACTTTGCCATAAACGGCTGTACTCTTTAACGCGATCACCAATTTCCAGTCGCAGCTACCGGCCGAAAAAAAAACAATCATGTAAAACCCACTCAAGTAGCCAAGTAAAGCATTAATTGCTTTGGGCTTTGAATTATTGGCGCCCACTGTCTTGGCCAAGAGAGTAGCAAAAAAAAGTAGTAAAAACACTCCAAACTTTGTTGATACTACCAAGCCTGCGAAAGACAATTGTTTGCCTCTACGAGATACGCAAACACTCTTCCATAAGCTTAAATACCTTTATCGACGCTTGGCGATCTCTGTCAAATACTCGTATGCGGTAGCGTCGATTTGGTTTGCTCGCTATGTTCCACGCTGTAAATGCCCACTGTTTACTAAATACTTTATTGCTGATTATTGGCCATATCGAAGTAGTTTAGCTGAAAGTGGCATACTCGTAGCATGTACATATATGCACTTTGTCGAGTCTACTGTATGTGCATATGAGCATTTGAAAGGGAGGACTAACAAACGGTCGCAACGAAAACTAAAATAAAATTTGTTGATCGTAATACAAAATATTTTGTTTCACTTCCGGTTAAAAAACGTTGACACCTGTGAAATTTGGCCATACCAATGTCTTTATATCTTTCCTGACCATATATTTTATATGGAATTTTCTTTTCGGAGATATCTAATTTCGATGATCTTCGGTCACAAAGTTTATATGTGTATAACGGTGTAGAATACCAAATTTCATGATCTTAGATGCCTGAAAAAATCGGTGTATGTAAGCTTTATGTTATAGTCGTCCGGTGATGTGATGGTATAGCAAGTAAAAACGACGGGCATCACTTTCCAGTTGAGCTCTGTAAATTCCTGATGGGTTACCAAACAGGTTTGAGGTTGACAAGGGTAGGCATTCGTTGTAATAGTCAGGTTTTTTGAAAGTAGCCCAAATCATGGATGTAGTCGATCACTGCAAGAGTTTCTTTAAGATTCACGTAATCGCCGTTTTTGAAGAGCTCCGTAACTATGGCCGGATAGCTTCTTATTCAAAATACTCCCTTAACGACAGGTCTGGAGAAAAAAGAGGGTGGGTCGATGGTTGACGGAAGAGTCGGTGCAGGAGTTTTATTTTCAATTTTCTCGATCTGTATAGACCACTTCACCGTTTTTCAGCCCAAAGTAACTGCTATCAAACCCAGAGAGGTGATCTAGTGACGAATGCCCAGAGCATACTCAACTAATGGAGAAAAAACTTCTCCAGCATTCTGAACGGCAGTGAAAATGCAGTATCCGGAGTTGCTGAACACGAACCCCAATCGATGACGCTGGAAAGGACGTTCCACTACCCGATCGAGGTTCAAATATCGATGGCTTGCTTAAAGAACAAAGCGGCTGGAGCTGACGGTATACCAGACAGAGCTATTCAAACATGGCAGTTAAGTGCTGATCAGTTGATGCATAAGCTTCTCTACAAAATATAATCGGCCATGCGTGACGATTGGAACCTGAGTGTGCTCCGCCCATTTCACAAGTACGTCGATCCTATAGCCTCCGTCAATTACCAAATGATAAGCCACTCCGCATATAAGGTCTTATGGAGCGCATTGTGTGAAAAACTGAAGCCCATCGTCAATAAACTGTTTGAACCTTATTAGTGTGGCT